TTTGCCCATACTGCTGCGGCAGCTCGCTACGGCACTTGCTGAGAACCTCTTTCTTTTGCTGTTTGTGTCTGTGTTGACCAGCGTGTCGTCATCATCTGTCTAGCGTCCACCCATACCGCGTTGGTGTCCAGTCCGAGCCTGGCTGTTCTTCACCTTTCTACCTACCTACCTGGGCCAGTAAGCACCAGAAAGAAAGAAAGAGAGAAACGCAACCCAAGCGCCAAGGGAGGGATGGATGATGGTGGTGGTGGTGGTGGGTGGTGGTGCCAACCCAAGGGAGGGATATGGATGGGAGGACGGCACGCCGCCACCACACAGGGAATTTAAGGAGAGGAGTGTGGTGCTAGCCGTCGCCCGCCCTAACCCTTGGGGGGGGGGGGGGGAGATTTATAGCAATACCAAACAACTCTAACACTCACACGTCATTTGGGGCCTGGAGCCCTGTTCACGCGCGCGCAAGACGTGCAGACAGGGTTGCCAGGTGAGAGCGAAGTTTGTTTGAACCCTTGGTCGTCTGCCTCTTTCTATCTATCAGCTTTCATCTCCCTTCGCAGTCCCTCGCCGATTCGTACCAGTCCCGTGTGCCCAGTGTTGCGCCCGGGTTTCTTGTTTTTCTTTTCAGCCCACGACCGTTTTCCCTTTCAGCCCAAGGGGCAGCCATGTGGAACCGGCCTCGGGCTGACCCCTGGGGTGAATCACGGCGGCACGCAACGCGGGCGCTGGTTCCGGCGCGCCTCGGGCTGTCGCTGGCCCTCATTTTGACGAGGTTCAACATTGGTTTTGAAATTCCAAGACCGACCCTCACCTCTACTCTATTACAGCTGGTGGTCACGGGCACAGCATGGGTTGTGCGGTCGGAGGTGGTGCTTGCGGTGGCGCATTCAACTGTGCTGGTCCTCCTCTCGGGAATCGGTGCTGTGCCTGTGCTCAGTCGGGAGATCTTGCTCTGGAGGGCGGCATATCTAGCCTCACTGGGAGCCTGCCTTTGGGTCATGAGGGCAGGGGCCAGGCATCTCCTGTGGTGCATTCTTGGCAGCCAAGGAGCAAAGCACGCGGCCCTGGCTAGCTGTGGTGTGGCCGGGAAGCCGTGCTAAAGGTGCGTGCCCGCACTAGAGATGCGGGACCCACACTAAATGTACTGCAGCTGCCCGCACCTAAAGTGAACTAAATGTGGCGCTAAATTGGAGATAAAACACACTAAATATGTGCTAAATATGTGCTAAATTTGCGCTAAATTTGCGCTAAATTTGCGCTAAATTTGTGCTAAATTTGCACTAAAGACGCACTACACACCACTCGAACACGCACTAAATAGCGCACTAAACTATCACTAAAGTTCATTCACACGCACTAAATTTAGACCCAGGCGCCCTCCTTTTTTGTGTCTGCCAACCGGCCTACGTGGCCGCAGGCCCACTGCAACGCACGCTCCGCTGCAGCCATGGCGGATCGCGTGCGCGAGGTGATGGAGTCGATGGTGCCGGAGCTGGAGGACGTGCAGCGCCGCGGCCTGTGCTCCGCCAGCGAGGTCAAGGCGCTCGTGCGGCGCCGCGAGCGCTTTGAGTACCTCGTGCACCGGCGATCGCCCCTTGCTGCGCGGTGGCCGGGGAGCGCGCCCCGCCATCACGTGCTGCGCCACGCATAGGCCCCGCGCGACGCGCGACGACTTTCTGCGCTACCTGCAGCTCGAGATGAACTTTGAGGCGCTGCTCAAGTGCAGGCGCCGGCGGCTCGGCATGACCAGGCAGGGCCCGCCCGACTTTGCGATCCGGCGCCGCATCCACTTCATTTTCAGCCGTGCGGCGCGGCGCTTCAAGGGGGACGAGCGGCTCTGGATGCAGTGGATCGACTTTGCCGAGCGGCGCAAGGCGGACAAGCGCCTCGAGCGCATCTACGGTCGCGCGCTTGCTGTCCTGCCCCACTCGGTAATGCCCCCTCGCGGCGCTCCCCTCGCAGCCCACCCCGCCCGCCGACCGCGCGTCACGCGCCCTCGATTCCCGCTCTGCCGCGCCCCTGACGCAATCGCTCACCTTGCCAGGTGCCCCTGTGGACACGCGCAGCCGCGTGGGAGTTTGAGGCGCGACAACAACCGAGAAGCCTCGACGGCTACAGACACCCAGACCCTTGGGCGAGCCACGCGCCAGCAGCTCCACTGCCACGGCATCAGCACCCTCCCTGGCGCGCCGGTGTCGCCCTCGGGCGGCGGACCACCTCTGCCCGCCGGCCGCGTGAGACCCCCAAAACTAGATGCCGCCGTGCTTCAGCCGCTGATGCTGCAGCTGCTGCTTCCACCTGTCAGGCGCGCTCCAATGCAAGCGCTGCGCGGCGGCTGCTGCAGCGGGCCCTGCGCGCCAACCGCGGCTCGCGCGAGCTGTGGCTGGCCTACTTTCGGTTTGAGCTCATTTTTGCGGAGCGCGTGCAGCGCCGGAGGAGCGCGCTCGGCATCGACGGCGGTGCGGGGGCGGCGGACGGCGACGACGTCGCGGCGGGGAGCATGGCTGATGGCGAGGAGGCTGGCGGCGAGGCTGGCGGCGAGGATGACGGCAAGGACGGCGGCGGACTGGAAGTCGGTGACGAGGACGAGGACGAGGACGGAGGCGCCGCCGGCCTGGCTCTTGCGCCCATGACGGACGTGGAGGGAGCGGAGGGCGGCGAGTTAGGAGGGGGTTCGGCGGCGACGAGCGCCGTCGCGCGCTACGTCTATGAGAGCGCGGTGGCGGCGATGCCCGAGGATGTCGAGCTTCGGCTAGGCTGTTTGCGTGCGTGTGGCGAGGTGGAGGCGGGCGCGCCGATACAAGCTGCCATCGAGACGAGCTTGCGCGACTCGTTCGGCGAGAGGTGCTCCAATATCTCGCCCCCTTCTCCACATACAAGCCCCTCGCGCCCTCCCACCAGTCCCGTCCCGTCCCTTCAGTGCGGCCGTGGCCGTGGCATTGGCATCGCTGCCCCTCGACCGATGCGCCGCGGATCCAGAGTGGGGCTCGGCGCACGCGGCCGCGCTCCGCGCCGCGCTGCAGTCTCTCGACGCGTCGTTGGCGGCGGCGCCTTCGGCGCCTCGCCTATTGGCGGCGTGGATGTGTGAGCCAGGGCCCCTAAGCGCCCTGAACACTTGTAGGCACGCCTCCGCGACGCGTGCGTCGCTTGGGTCGAGGCGGTGACACAAAGGGAGGGATTGCCGCCGGCCACCGTTGTGCGGATGCGGAAGAAGGGGCTCCAGTTGTGCAAGGCGGCACACGCCGCCGGCGAGGCATCGCCCTCCGTCTACCAGCGGTGGGCGGCGCTTCACTTCACGGCGGCTCTCTCCGCTGCGGACATTTCTGGGCTTTTGCCGGACGCCTCCGAGCCAGATGCGGCTCTGGCGTGGCGGCAGGTTTCCCGGCCCGCCCCTTGCGCGTCCCCTCGCTTCTCTCGCACCAGCGCTCCAGCCATCAACGCCCCGCCCCACCACGCGCCGCGCACATACGCGCGCTCACACACAACGCGCACGCACAGATTGAACGGCTTGCTCCCTCCCCTCTCGCCCCTGTATAGCTCGGAGGGAGCGATGGAGCGCACGACGGCGCGCTGCAGCTCGCCCTGTCGGCTTGCGAGGCGGGCGCGATCCGCCACCCGCAGGACGCAAGCCTCGCGTGCATGAGGCTGCGCTTGCTGCTCGCGCGCTGCGGGGAGCGACCCACCCTTTCCGATTTGGCGCATTTGCGCGACCCTTTCCATGAAGTTGCGAGCGCGTTGCGAGGCACGCCTGGCGCATTGTGCGTGTGGCGGGTGTGGATCGAGGCGGTGCGCTGCCGAGCGTGCTGGCGCCCAGCTGCCACACACCAGCATTTTGGGGAACCCCCCCCCCCCCCCCCGGCTCCTCCCCGCAGGCGATTGCGGCCGCCGACTCGACCAGCCAGCCCCAGGCCCCCCGCCCTCCGGCCCTCCGGCCCCTTCTCCCGCCACTCCTCGTTTGGTTTGAGTACATGGAATGGAAGCAGATCCGTCTCTCCTCGCACGCAGGTGGTCCTCGCGGTCTGGCGGCGTGCGGAGGCTGCGCTGCGCGCAGAGAGCGCGCCGCTCAAGGCATCCTGCCTCCCCTGCTATCGCCCCGCTGCTTTTTTGCCTTCTCTCAACACCTCGCGTCCCGGCCTGTAGGTGCTGCTCGCAGAGTGGTTGTGCCGGCTCAACCTTTCTCGTGCACGCGAGCTGCGGCCGGCCCTACTCCGCTCCCCGCCCACGCCGCTCAGGGTGCATGAGGCACTGTTGGCCCATGAAACGGCAGAGGTGCGGCGCTTTTGAGACACCTTAACACACGCAAAACAGACCCCTCCAGACATGCACCAAGCAGTTTGGAGGCTACTGGCCGCTGTCGACCACCAGTGCCGTTCAATCCGCTTTTTCCCCTCTCTTTGCTCCCATGCAGGGACCCCTCTACGGCAAGTCGGTTTTGCAGGGCGCCTCCGCAGATCGGGCGGGGCAGTCGGGCGGCGTTTCCGCTCGCTGCGTCGCGGCCGAGCTCGTCGCTCTGTTTGAGCGAGCGGTCCTCGCGCTCCAGATGCTTCGTCCACTGAGACGCTCACTCACACACACACACTTTTCTTGCGTCTCGCACCCACCCACTCCCGATGCATGCAGGTGTCTGAGCATGGCCACGATTCGGTGGATTTGTGGCTGCACTACGCCAGGTGCCACCTCCGCCAGGGTGCCTTTGCCAAAGCCAGCGCGGTCCACGACCGGGCCCTCCGAGTACTCAAGGAACAGCTCCACTCCGACTTCGTCACGCGGTATCAGGAGGCGTTGCGCGGCGACGCGGAGTGATGCTCGGTCGGAATCTCTTGTCGTTGTCGAGAGTGCGCATCGGCGGCGATGGAGAGGCATTCGCGTTGCACAAGCGTCGAGGCGGCGCTCCCGCTCGAGAGATGGGCAGCCTCCGGCGTGTTTAATGTTGCGTTCGTTCGGACACGCCTGGACGCGGAGTTTCGCCCCGATGCCCCGACGTCACGAGCCCTTGCGTGGCTCACGTGCGCGCGCGCGCGTGCGGTGTGTGTACATGAGTATGATGTATGTGTGCGTCTGACCCATACTCATGTACAGCAGTGTGGTGTGCGAACGTCTTAACCCCTTTCCGCAGCGCTCACTACTCTTTCGTATACTGCGATCTGGCCACGCCACTACTCACACTTGCGATTAAACGGTTATTTTGGTGCTGTCGTGGTCTCTTTGCTAGTTATATAGGGACCTTGGCGCCGGGGTCACGACACCACACACGAGGAACTTGCATGTTGCAAGTCGTGGCCGAGGCGGCGACGGGAGCGGTGCAGAGGTGGATCCAGCTCAACGATGAGGCTACCGCGCGCATAATGAAGAGAGAGGAACACATTGAGTGGCTGAGGAAGCTCTTCGCTGGGTGGAAGGAGGCCCGGCCAGCCTTGAGGGAGTCGCGGAGGAGGAGGGATATAACAGAGGTACCGTAACGTGGGGACGGGCCAACAGCCAGTGGGACGAACGAGGGCCGCGACGGCGGCCCAAACGGGAGGGAGCGGAGACAGTGGGCAGCGAGCGAAGTGGGTGAGACTGATGATGCTCCTTCGACTTAGGGAGCGGTTCAGCTGCTGGGCGGGCTTCAGGGTGGTGCTCACGCGAACAGGAATCGACGCGATGTACAAAACATACAAGAAAGGGGAGAAAGAAGAGGAGAGACCCCAGTGATGACGAAGCAGAAGCTAGTGCAGACGAGAGCAGGGCAGACCCGGGGACTGGGGAGCCGGAGCAGACGGCATCGGCCGCCGAGGGAACGTTGGGAAAAGAGGCACGAGGAGGGCGGCGGCGACCTCAACCGACTATGAAGGACCCGTCACCAGACGACGCAGGGCGGACGACGGGGAGGCGGAGCAGACGCGCAGGGCGAGACGAGGGAGGGAGCAGGATGTTGCGGAGATCAGCAGGAGGATGTACGACGAGATTAGGAGCAGCAGGGACCCGAGGGACCATGTGGAAGACGGCTAGTGCTAGTCCCCCATCGGGAGGACGACCCCGGCTAGTCGCCGACCACACCCACAAAGAACCCTGCACAAAGACCGCAGGGCGGGGACCTGTTCCTTTTTACCCATCTCCTAGTAGAGGTGTCTCCGTTTTATTATTTATTTGCTAGTTATAGTTAGTGCGCCCTGGGGAGGACGACCCCGGCTAGTCGCCGACCACACCCACAAAGAACCCTGCACAAAGATCGCAAGGGCGGGGGCCTGTTCCTTTTTACCCATCTCACAGTAGAGAGGTGTCCGTTTTTATTTATTTAGTGCGCCCTGGTCAGGCGCTCACCAAAGGGCCTTCGCCCTCAGCCGGCGCTCCGCTTTGTGCGCGTCGTGTTCCGCCTTGATTTCTCTCCGGTCAGCATTCGCCGCGCCCCGCTCCTGCTTCTTCGCCTTTCGCAGCTTTTGCTTGCGCGTGAGCTTCTGCGCCGCCTGATGTCGACGTGGGCGCGGCGTAAGACACCGGAACATGCATCTAGGACGGCATCGGAACAGGCCAAGTTTCGACCGCGCGCGCCTTGGATATCTTTGTCTTGACAACTCGTGGTTTGAGCAAGCCGGTCGCGCTCGTCGTGGTGAGCGCGTCCGTGTCCATGCTGTCGGCAGCTGCCTCACGCCTGCAAGGTTGTCACGCGCTCTTGGCGGTGCACGCGGCATGCTCCTACGCGGGCGGGCGGCGACACCTGCGGCGCGACGCTGAGCTGCGCTTGCCCATTGACGGATGCGAGTCAGGAGCGGCTGGCTGGCCCCCGGCTGGCTGCGAGCGCTTCGAGCCCTTGCTTGTGCGCGTCCGCGAGGCCAGATATAAAAAAGCTCCTTTGATGTTCGCGGGCGAACTGGCGAACTGGTTCGTGAACTGGTTCGGTGAACTCGCGGTTCGTTCGGTTTCGGAGTTCGCTCTGGACGGCATCCCCTTGGTTCGCTGCATGGTTCGGTCGTTCGCCCTTGGGTGCCCGAACCCTCGAACTAGTTCGTGAACTCGAGCCTTTTCTTTTCTCCTCCCCCCCCCGACCCGCTTCACACCCGCAGGGCGAGGAATACCAGGGAAGTTCGTCTGAACTGCGAACGAACCGCGAACGAACCGCAAAATTTATTTTTTGGCTATGCAGGCCTGTATAGTCCCTGGTCGCCTATTAGAGGCCTAGTACGCCTGGACGCCTCAGCGGCGTTCCCTTTGGAAGTGCGAGCTTCTTCCGCGCCAACGCAGGCTGGGGCGATCGTTGCGCGCCGCTCCCTTTGAGGCTGGCAACCTCTTGTGTCAAGGCCGACACCACGTCTGTCAGCGCTTGCAGACGAGTCTCCATACTGGTCATGCGCTTGTCCAAACTGGCGGCGACGTCCGATCCCTTCAAGGCTCGGCCGTCAACGGCGGTGTCCCACTCCTCGATGGATGAGCCCGCGGCCGCGAGCACAGCCCAAGCATTCACCACCAACATGACGAGCCCAACCGCTGTCAAAGCGCTCGCCCGAAGTGTCAGAGTGGTGTGCCGTCGGTTTTGAGGACACTAGCAGAACTTGCGCGCACGTGCGCGCAATAATTGTTTTTCTATAACTATATGCAACAACAGCCGAGAGTGAAATGTCTTTGTTGTCTCTGTGTAACGAAGGGCCCATCGCTCCGCCTGACGCCTGACCCTCTCAGACCGCCTCTCGGCAGTGCGACAGCGCGAGCACCGGGCAGAGAAGGACGCTGCAGAAGCGGTTGGAGAGGCAGCCGGCGCACGAGGAGAGGCAGCCGATGGAGCCGACGAGGCGAGTAGACACGAGTTTACCATTCTGCCGGGGGGGGGGGGGGGGGCGGAAGCCCTCCCCCACCCACTGCTACTCTGTACTGCATGCAACTCAGCAGTGGTCGCAAGCGTCGCAAAGGGCAGGGAGGCAGCCTCGCGCGCTGTCGAACGCTTCCCCGGCCCAGACAGAGGCATCACAGTCATGCTCTGGCCAGCGTCTGGTGGGTCGGCACTGCGCAACACACGCCGCAATCAGCCTGAGAGCAGATGATGGGGTGGGTGCGGGTGGACGAGGGTGGAGCCGAGTTGGGTGGGAGAGGGAGCACGCACGTGCAGCGGTGCCGAGGGTGGGTTGATGGCACCGCCTGCGGCCGCCCGGGCGATGACGGATTGCGCAGGTATGTTGTTCATGTCCTTCTCCGCCGCCGCTTGGCTGCAGCACCCAATGACGCCGCCCGCCTTTGCGAGGGGGCGTCTGGACGTGCTTGGCGGTTGACGCCGGCCCGCCACTGCGCCTCGTGTGCGTCCACCTCCGTCGAGGTCGACGCGTCGAGATCGGAGCGCATCACCGAGACGCCAGAGCCCGCCTTCGCCGACATGATTCCCGCCTGAGAGCTCGGTGGAGTGTGCCGTCGCCCGAAACGGAAAACCGGACACGGGAAAATAAAGGTAAGATGACGAGGTTTGCCCTGGACCTTACCGACACGGGGAAATATAAGGTAAGATAAATTTTCAGTATACTTTTTTAGCTTGAGCACTTGAGCACTGGATAGGGTCGATTCCGCATGGTACGGGACCCCTCGATCGTCTCGCCCACCCTCACTGGAATGTTCATTGGGGGGGGGTCATACCAAACACGGTGCAGGATCGAGGTGCACGCTGCCGAAGCAGTGTCATCCCCCCTCTCCCCGGCGGCGATGGCGGTGTGACCGATCGAGCTACAAGAGGAGCTTGTTCAGCAGGATCCGGGATAGTCAGATGCACTACCTCACTGGGCCTGAGACCACCACACGACCCTCCCATCACCGTCTCGGATTTATGTGGGGTCGAACCACTCCGGGATGGGCAAGCCCATCAAGTCATTTTCGTCAAAGTAGAGCTCGAGCAAGATGTTCAGCCGCCCGCACGTCGTCCCCCGCACGCTGCCGGATCCAATATTGGTTGGGGACCCGTAGCATCATGCCCTTGGCCCGCGTGCGAGGCAATAATCCGACGTCCTGCTGGGGTGCCGGCCCGAAGCATGTACCGCCATACAGCTGTATGCGGCCCTGGGATGACACGTCTCATAGCGCCGAGTGCCGAGACCAAGAGGGGTCCGGAGTGGTGAGGCGCCGGGTGTGGGTGGGCGTCGAGTCCGTGTCGAGTGTTTACTAGCTCCGAGTAGAGGGGGCGTTCTGCTGCGCTAGGGGAAACCTGGAGCGCGGAGCTAACTCTCGGAGACCCGTGTTTACTTTATGGCCCTTTCCCTGCGAACGCGCACCCCCCAGGGCTAGGGCTCTCTTGCCCGCAACCCGATGCCGATCATCCGGCCCGCTGGGTGCGCTTCTTAGCTCTCACGCCGTTGCAGCGGCGACGCTGCTACATGGGGTGCGCTGTAGCCCTAGGCGGTAGCGGTACTAGCGCCTGCCTTGCAGCATTATGTAAAGCCGTGTGCTGTGCGCCTGCACAGCCGGGCCGTCGCGTTTTGATCTCACGGTCTGTGGGGGGCCGAGGCGCCTCGGGGTGGCTGGCGGGCGGGCGTGTTGAAAAACAGAACACAGAAAACAAGGGGTGGGGGGGGGGAGTAGAAAATACGCCCAAGGGGGCCCAGAGGGGGCCACGTTGAGGCGGCGCGGGGAAGCATAGAGGTGAGAGCAGGAAGGATGGCGCTTAGGATCGGCTTTGTCCTTTGAACAAGGGGGTTCCAGGTTTTACTTTTAGAGATCAGTATTGGATGGTGTCGGCACACCAATCTCTCCCTCTCACATCCCCACACGAGGTCAGCGGCGCGCAGTGCCTCTCTCGCAGGCTGATATTTTCATGGCTGTTTTCGAGCTTGTTTTTGTTTCAGACTAGGGGGCCCGACCCCCTCAGAGGCGGCGGGCGGGCGCCCACAGACCGAGTCCGAGTACCGAGAGATCAAAACGCGACGGCCCAGTCAAGCACCCCTTGTCGCTTGCGTGAAGTGTGTGCAGTGGCCAATGTCCAATGACTCGTACACTTTATACCACTCGCTTGCTTTTTTTCGCTCCAGTCCTGCGGATCTTCAGGGCTACGAAGCCTTTCACACTCCAAGGGGCTGACTTTATACGTCAGTATATCTCTTTGTATAAGCTGTTGTATACTCTAGGACTAGAGGTGTGTGAGGCTGTGAGGCGCGCGTGGCGCGACTGCAGCGGTCTGCACACCAAGTGCTCCAAGTGCTCCAATTTATACAAAGTGTTGAGATTTGGTAACAGTGGTCAGAGTGCGCTAACACCTCACCTTGACCTAGAAATACTCGTCGCCTCCTCC